GATTGGGTACTGAGTCCGAGGAGTGAAAGTGTTGGACAACTTACTGACTTCAGTGAATAAAGTCGAAATAGCTTGACAGCTCATTATCTTCCAGGGGTCTTCTAATTACAAAGTTGACGTGTTACAATAGTGATATCATTGAAATAAAATGTAAAACGAAAGCACTAATGATTTGAAGATTTGCGCGAAAAATTCAGCCATCGCCAGCATCATTGATTTTCGTGTCGATTTTCAAGTCCTATATAGAGTGCTTTTTACTAGGTGAATTAGGTTATCCTTTGGTGCAGACCTCCCCTAAATACATATAGATCATTGTGAACTTGTAACGGCTCACGATTTATCAGTATTTAAAGTTAATGTCACCTACTGTACTACTCTGATTTTTTTTTCATTTCCTTTCAATAGTAACGAAATAGCGTCTGTCTATCACGTGACCGCATCACTACCAATGAAAACAGTAAAAAATGACATATTGTATGACGTCATAACTAATACTAAACAGCCCAGTTTAAGGGCGGTGTGAGTGTACAAAGGTGTATTCAACTCGAAGCCCGTGACAATGTATGTTCTCTTGGCTCTAAATACCGGTAAGTTTTCTTACACGTTATTACAATTTAGTTGGTTGACATGAGATTGGATCACTGGATTATGAGAAAACACCCTTTAAAAAGGCAGAGTTATTAGTTTTTCAGAAGACTTTCACCGTGTGCTGACCACATGATCATGTCAGTGTGAAATATCACTTCAACAACAAACCAACAAAATTAACGTTTTGAACAAAAATACAATGGTTTTCGTAATAGAGTATTTATACTCTTTCCTTCAAACAGGTTTAAGCTTGCTGGCTTTCTTGTCATGTGTACATCGATAGAAAACCTTTTTTGTGTATTTTTTTGAATCGAAAACTGTAAGTTATCTAGCAAGTCAGTAAGTTATTTTGTTTTATTATATAGATTTTGAGCAATACTTAAGGACGTTCATTGGCATTGGATTCCGTGATGTCAATTCTATGAAATGTTTTGGGGAAATACGCGATGACATAAACTTGCAAAAAAGCGATAAAAAAGTGGAGGTTACCGGCTTCATTTTAGAGATAATTCTTGCACAAAATCACCAAAATTGTCAAAGAAAAGCGCGCGAAAAGGGGTCGATGCCGTCTACCAAAAAACTTCCCGAAAAATATAAAACACATATCAATTGATCCAAATTTTTCCACAAAAGCTGAGGGCGATAATTGTTAATATTGTTTACGAGACTTTGAAACATTACATGATGTGATTTTTGATTTCTTTAGGACTTTTGTTCGTGTAAGGCCGCCACATTCGACGTCAAGAATAGGTGTCATTTCCAGCTAAAACTGCTATATTTCAGAAACCTCTGTTGTCGTTTTTTCCGCTTTCACATATGTTATATTTTTTCCAAGTAGCCTTCTTTTAAGATAAATAGAAATTGGGGTTACCGGGTTCGTTGTCGAAATATTTCGTGTCGAAATCTTAGATTTTGCAGGCCATCTTGAATTGCGAGAGACTTTTTTCTGCCAATCTACGACTTTTTAGAGCATTTTCAACACTTTTTCGCCTCATCAATTCTTTAGCAGTAGTAAATCTCTCATTTTTTGAACACGAAGACATTTTTCATTCAAGTAGAAGTTCAGAAAAGTACGTACAAAACCTCATAAACACATAACAAGAGCGGTCGCCATCTTTGTTTTGCGTGATGCAATTTCGTGACAACTTCCGGTTTGGGCGTGCGCAGAAAGCGTGCGCAGTAGCAATGCCCTCGAACGTCCTTAAGCAAAAATCCATTTTGTTGCCGTTTTCAAAAATCGCTCGCGCACAATCGTAGTTTATACTCTCATAAACCACACTTTTTTGGCCAATCAGAACGCGTGTTAGAAATCATCTATATAATAATAGTTGTTAAATGCCGCTTTTTTTTCTGGTTTTGGTCGAATAAACAATGCTTATAACATTTAGAGTAAAAGAACGTTTTTCTCAAAAGAATTGTTCATGTTCTTACCATCAAGTTCAGTGAATCAAGTAGTTTTATAGAAAGATTAGTGGCTTCCTTGGTATTTGACATTGTTAGTTGTGCTCTATTAATTCTCGGATTTCGTTTGTAAAGCTAGCAGAGGGAGCAATGTCAAAAGCTTGAAGTTTTTAGCCCAAAATAAACAAAACTGAATTGTTTTTAAAACAGAATCATTCATGTGCTTGTCACGAGATAGATCGAAAGCAAGATAAATCTAGGGTTTTCCTGAAATCAGTAAAATTTGGAATTCGTCTTCGCTTTATTTGAAAATGTATTGAGTCGCCATTTTTTCCCCTCTACTCATGGTATATGAGCTAGTAGAGTAACCAATCAGAACGCGCGCTTTCTCATCAGCATTGTGTGTATAATAATTTTTGTAAACCCAGGCTGCGTCGAAGAATCCAGAAGAGCATTGCTCGTCGGCTTGATTTTTACAAAAAGTTCAAAACACAATCACAAAGGATTGAAAGAAACGCCAAAGAATTTTACTAAAACGATGTTATATTGAGCTCAAGCTGCAATACGAAAATTATACTCGCGCAGAAGTACATAACCAGAAGATGGCCAGACAATCTATATTTTTAGACAACCAGTTGTTTGTTATGTTCGTCTGCGAATCAACAACAAAGATGATGACCAGTGTACTGAGATATATATATGCTATCATTGGCGGTTTATTTTTGAATTCTAACGAGCGCGCTTATTGGTTACATAAATCTCGCACAATTCTAATTCGTTAGCATTAAAAAATAAAAATAAACAGCCAATAAGAGCGAATTCCGGGAATTACATTTATCAAGGTACTGATTCGGAGATCATAAACATAGCCATTGGTCGCTCTTGAGGAAGTCAGCTGGACTGATAATTATTATTATTGATACTCGCTCGCTACTCGCTGCTTGATTATTAGCTTCTTGCTGGATTGTTTGCTTTAATTCAAAACAATGGGTATTTTCTAGAACAGTTGTGATTAACCAATCAGATTGAGCTGCTAACTATTCTCGCGGTCGGGTTTGAAGGGCAAGCCACAAAAGAGAAACGGTTATAAGATTCTTTGTTTCTCACTGTCAGTAGCCTGCAATACATCCAGTGCATTTCAATTGGCCATTCCGAAATTCAAAGAAGACTGTGAACTAGTGTAAAAATATTACATTCACCGAAAACTGAACCTCACCACATGAAAGACCACACTTAAATAAGTGTTCTTGTAAAGTTTGAGCATATTTGGTTGAATACTCACCGAGTAGGAATTTTTTCAAATAATGTATGTTTTTGGTACGCTGCTCAAGAGCTCCATACATTTCTTTGTAATTTTAATCTTTGTAATTATTAATCCGAATACTCTCTAACTAAGCAGCTTTACTAATTTTAGTATGCTCTTTTCTTGTCCAGGTGTCTGTTTTTTGATTGCTTCAAACGGTATCGAGTTCGTGACTAGTCACCAGTCCCTTTTTGAATTTCGGAACGTGCAATAGTCAACTTTAGATATTTTTCTTCGATGACTATGTACAAAAGAACGCACACGAGGCTCCGGGGAAACAATGGATAATCTTGATTTATTCTTTTATTTCCCCGGAGCCTCGTCTGCAATTCTTTTGTGCATGGTCACTGAACCAAAATATCTAAAGTCGACTATT